AATCTCTTGATTGATTAAAACTAGTCTCATATATTTTCATAAAGAATTCTATTTTGTAAGAAAACTTCTCAATCTCATCTATTTCTCTATTCTTAATAAAAATTTTATTTGCCAACACTTATATTGAAGTGTAAATCTCTCATCATAGTTTAACTTGTATTATTTGTTAAGAGAGATCATTGGTTGGAAACTTTGATATAAAGATACAAACTATTTCATTATCCATCATTCATCAAAGTTTACAACAAAAACACTTGACCTGATTATATATTGAAGTGTTATCCTAACTCTCTAAACACTTGACCTGATTATATCATTTGTTAAGAGAGTTTCTTCAATTGTAAAATTATTACTTACATTTTAGGTGGTTTCGAGTGCCCTTTGAAAACTCGATCGTTGTTAAGGATATGTGCTCCTTGTTCTAAGTCACCTAAAAATAAGTGCTCCTTATTATAAGTCATTTAAGGATAAATACTCCTTGTTGTAAGTCACCATTTTAGGATCGGTACTCCTTGATTATAAGTTATCATTTCAGTGCATTTGTCCTTATTCATGATGGAGAGTTTGGTAACGAAGACATAGAACACATTGTATATCGAACCACATTAAATTCGCTTGTTATCTTTACATTCATGCACTCTACTTTAAAATGTCATTTATATTGTGCTATATTCATACTTGGATTAAGTTATTGAATTTGCATGTTCACTTCTCGTACTATACTTTGCATTTATATTTTGTGAATTAAATAAATTTGAGACTAATTGTCGAAAAAGTTTCAAAAATCAATTTACCCCACTCTTGGTTAGTTATTCTTGGGTTATCAGATATTCCCTAATAATGCTCATAATGACATTAAATATATTTTTAGCATTGTGAGGGAACTCAATTATTTTAAAAGTAATAAATTTTTTTGCATACACCAAAGTAGATCTATGTAGTGTGCAGTTTTCATCTATATAACCTCTTTTATTAATTCATTCACATAAATTCGAAGTTAAAGATTTACCCGTCATATTTTTGCAAATCAATAATCAATTGTTTCTTTATATTAAGAAAATATTCTATTGTATCGGAACAAAGAGTATTTCTACTTACCCTAACGTACCTCGGTTAAAGATATTCTTTCACGTAAGAGTCGAAATATTGGTTGTTCGCTATTACTAGAGACAACTCATATTGCAGTTGTGTTTGAGAGCTACCAACAATCCCATGTTTGGCTGCACATACTTTGTAGTGACGGTTGAGGTAGGTGGTACCGATGCCATTTTACCGTGTCAATCGTGTTTGACAATATTTACATACTGCTTTACAATCTACGACTCTCTTGATTGTATGACATGTTGAAATCAATTTAAAGTGATCCCAATATTTTACTATTTTTTCCTCTTTCGTTTCCCTACTGAATCGAGAATATCTAGTTCTGTCTGTTTCGTTTCGGGAACATCAACGTCATCTAGATCAATTATATTACTACTTCCTTAAGTATCCAAATTTGGAATAATTTTGGGAATGGGTACTTCGTTGAGACCAACAAATTGATTGTGAAATTGACTTTGCAACGTCATAGGTGATTTTCCACTGACATCGAACAAGCCCTCAACAAATGATTTGGGTCTATTTATGATGAATTGATAATATAAGAACTTTAATGAAGATGAAATGATGAATGAATATGTAGAAATTGAATAATTGTGGGAATGTAAATTATAATGACAATGTATATAAAATATAATGTAGGGACTATGTCAATACTTTGTATAGTAAGAAATTAGTTGATTGGAAATTGTAATATGTAGAGAAATAATGAAGGATTGAACTTGAAGGTAGAATGTGGATTGTAGAATAAGAGTATAGAATAAAGTAAGAATTGTTGTTGTGTGCAAAAATTGTTAAATGGGTAGGGTATTGAAAAACTGTTATTGCATCGTGAGCACGAGGCTCGTGGGAGCCGCTCAAACGAGCGGCTCGTGGGGGAGCACACGAGCTACTCGCCCACAATGAGAGCCGTGCCACCCGAATAGCCCATGAGCCACGCTTTTACGAGCCGCTCGACCCATTTGCCACCCTATATGTGGAGTTCCATATATGATCTATTGTTGTGAAAAAAGTTGGTTCAAGTAGGTTATATTTGCACATAAACTAGTGAATTCTTGTTTTCGAGCATGTCAGGCAATAATGAAGTTTAAAGCATGTCTAATTTTCTTTTGGCGTCGTTTTATGTACTCTAGCCCATCTTGACAACTATGTTTAAAATATGACGAGCACAATGCATATGGAAGAGTACATCGCTAAATTCGAGATAAGTTCTCTAATTAATTTATCAATAACAACTGTACGTGTTTCCCTCACATTGTCAAAAGTGAAACTAAAAAAATCATTTTTGCATCCCTCCCTACTCTTTGAGGCTTTCATATGACACGGATTTTTTTTTTGAAATTTTACAATATTAAGTTTGTTGAATAATACACGACGAGAACCTTGAAATGGTTCCTAATTTGTATTAATTGAATTAGGAATAAGCCTCGAATAACGCTTAGAAAATGGAACCCGAAACAAGAATTCATGAGACTCGGTAAAGTTTCTGCAATATTTAATCGAGTACCCATTTTTAGGAGGGTCAATATGACTACTACGCCAGTCCATTTTACGCCAAGAGGATCTATCAAGCAAAACCTTTAGATTCAACGTCATCCACGCTTCAACTTCGAATAGTTGGTGAAGAACTTTATGAAACTGCGAAAGAGTTAAGCAAACCTTATAACGTTATAAAGAGTTTCTGGACAATATAGCTATCCTTAGGTGGAACAAATTATTTGAAGAGGATCGTTTAACCACAGTAAGAGTGCGAAAAAGTGAGTGTTTCTTATCACAACCTGAATTGATGTGCCATGTCATTGGCGCTCATTAAACCATTTATCTTTCTATATATGTTTGTGTTTTTGTGTGTGTGTGTATACAAAAAAAAAAAAAANTGTGTATACAAAAAAAAAAAAAAAGGTCTCAAGTATTTAGATGGTATGTATACATGTATGTACATGATGGTACAGCCTAGAAATTTCTTATTAAACCCCAAAAAAACCTTTATTATTTTGCCCTTCACTCTCTCTACAAAACATAGGTATATACAAACTAGTCCTTCTACATGTACATTATGTGTTACACCTTGATTTACACTCTTTCATATGGCATGATCTAGACCATTGATTTTTTTCCCACTTTTCCCATCAATGCACTGATTCCCCTCATGTGGGGGAAATGTCATGCTAGATGTACACCCAAAATGTACATCCAGCATTATTCTATACAAATTAAATTCACTCACAAGCATCAAAAACAAATGGAAGAAACTTCGTAAGTATTCAAGGTGAATCTGAATTTAGAAATTGAATTAAAAAGTTAAGGTATAAGGGATGGAATCTCTTTAACCAAGCTTTGAAAGCTCTCAAAGGGAAGTAGCGACAATAGAAAAAAATTCAGATTTGATTTGGGGAAGATGATGCAGACGATAGGTACTAATACCACTAAAACTCCTTCATTCTACAAGCTATTGGTGTCCGATTTTCGTTGTGAATCAGTACCCATAAAGTCATGTTTCATTTTGGTTTTTACTGATATGTTTTGATCAAGGTGATAAAAGGCATAGAACATAAAGGTCAAACTTTAAGTCTCACGATCTAGACGTATCCTAACGAAGCCTTGACGTAATAAAGCAGTCATATTTCTAGTTACTTTAATTATTTTAGACCAATATATAAACGAATAATGCATACCTTGAATATTTGTAGAAATATTATATAGACTTTTTATGGTTTTAACAAAAAACATTACTTAACGGGAAAATTGCTGTAGCGGTCCCTAACCTTTTTAATTTTTATAAACTTTATCCTAACTTTCAATTTGTGTCAGTGGAGGTCCCTAAACTTACATAAATATGCACCTAAAGTCCAACTAGATAGAAATCATCCATTTGACTATTAGTTGACCGAGAAAATGGACTTTGACCAATTTTGACTAAATTAAAAGAGGTAAAATGGTAACTTTACAATTATCACATTAAGGGTGTGTTTGTCTCCCATTATTAGGAGAAAAATAGAGTAATGAATAGTATTTTTTGGAGGATGTGTGGTTGAAAAGTAAAGTAACTTTATTGGTTTGTGTGTAAAATATTTTATTAAAAAAAAAGGATGAACTACATCCTTGACGACCTCCACCTGCCCTAGGCCTTGGTGAATGAGGTAAATCGCAGGTTATGCCTCCAATGATACATGGTGGAAAGCTGCTTCCAATGGCCAAATCTATATTTTAGGATTCGAACCCTTGACGCGATAGTGATAAGTGTAGTTTATACACTTATTTGTGGCCCTAAATTATGATATATTATTATCTTTTGGATTAAATTCTACTTAATTTATGTTATATTACATTTTGTAGATAAAACTCAATCTGTGATGAAGAATTGAAGAAAATGAGCAAAGAGTGACAAAAATGGCAAAATCCAAAGTAGGAGGACTAAGTTGGATTAACTCGAAAGATTGGAGGATTTGAAGAAAATTATACATTAAATGA